CTGCCGTAGCGCAAAGATGTCAACCTTAGAACATTAGAAAAAGTCACAGAAAAGTATTATACATATTTTCTGTTGTTAAGGACAAAGACGAAATGCACAAACAAAGGGCTTCGGCTCTGAGCATCGATGATCATTTCATTTAAAGTTCGGACCTAAGTTGGTGTGTCCACAGTGTTCATGTACACCACTATTGTTGGGCTCTTTTTCACCCCAATTAAAAAATGTATATTTTGACCCATCAGACCACATCCAAGCTCCTTCTTTATGAACATCGGTGAGTCCAATCCAGGTGAATTCCTGAGTAGGGTTGAAGTTCTTGATCAGGTAATTGACAAAATTATGTTCCTCTTGGCTGTGGATGGATACCAAGTTGGCCCCCTCCAACACACAGTGGAGCTCTGCTTCACCCCAGGTCATGTGAGAGGAAACATACTTGTAGCAGCGGTCATTGAAGCTGTACCAGAACATGGGACAGCCGCCATGCAGAAGCTTTTGTTCCTGTCCATGTGAGGGAGTGACAGCAGGCAAAGCCAAAGCAAACAGAAAGAGGAGCCACATCATTTTGTAGTCTTGAAGAGTCGTAGTCTGGGAGGTTTAAATGGCTAAGTGGAATCTGTCTGGTGAGGTGGATGGTAGACTGCTAAACTGTATATCCAACAAAAGGGGAGTCTCCCTTAACTGAGATTATGTGATTGGTTAGTGCATCTTGAAACATTATCAGACAGTATCTGCATACACTCAATATGATTGCAGGGTATTTCTTGTTTATTCCCCAGAAAAAATCTGGGTTAGGTATATTAGATCATTTCTGTTTATCTAACTAACAATATGATAAAGCCACTGAAACATGTGACTTAATGTGTCTAAATTTCTTCTACCTGAAAAGTAATAACTAGTTAAAGGGATCATAGACTTATCAATTTAAACTAATCCACTGATCTTAAAAAACAATTTACAGTTTAACGTTTTATAGAGTAAAGTGTAACACAAATTCTTCACAGAGATTCCAAAAAAGTTAGAGAAGCAGTCTACTCAACTTTGTTTCCAAGTTTGAAGATGTTTCGCTTCCCATTCAGGAAGCTTTTTAAATTCAAAATGTCCGAAAAAATGGCATTGAGTTCGAGGCTTTAGTGAGTGGACCAAAAACAAAGCCTTGTTTTGGCTTAGAAAACATGCAAATTGAACCGGATGAACGGGTCCGCCCCTTAAGAAAGGCTCCACTGCTGTCCAGCAAGGTCAAGATCCGCTATTGCAATCACACCAAACAGGAAAAAGAACGGCGAGAAGATCCAGTTTGTCAACTTAAAATATAGTAACAACAGATTGGTAACTACAAATTAGAGCATAATTCTTCTATATTTTAAAAAACTAACACTGTTTATTTAAAAGATTAGATGCAACCTATTGGTACTTCAACATCCCAGGAAGCAGATTTCTCATCTCGATCAGAAACCGCACATATGCTGGATAGTGATGGGGATTTTTTTTTTAATACGTCATATTAAATTAAGCATTAATTTCTGCATATTTTACTCCTTCAAATTTAAAGATAATATCCCGCATGCTCTCCATGAGCTCCGAGGATAAGTCTGAGCACAGCAATACAGTAGGCTTTACCTTGAGCAGGAGGTCTGGAGCTCTGCGGGGCAGAGCGGAGACGGAAGACGTGCGATTTTGGGGTATTTGGAGAAGCGGCACAAGTGACATTTAGACACTGTGTTAGACAACATGCGGTAATTTATAAATGTTTTAAATCAGGTTGGGTCTGGATTAGCCAGCAGATGGGTCCAAATACTAATACTAATCTGTGATCACTGCATTAAACCGAAGCCAAGAGTAACGAGTAACGTTTGTTTTAAAAATGTAAGGAATAGAAAGTACAGATACTTGTGTGAAAATGTAATGAGTACTGAAGAAGTCAGAAGTAGGAGGAAAAATAAGTGATGGATTAAATTATAGATACCTAAAAAGTGTCAAGTAACGAAGTATTTGTACTTCGTCACTTGACACCTCTGGGTATCAGTAGGGACATATGAATCAGCTCCCATATACAAGTAAAATTATACTCTTCCACACTCTATATTGGAAACTATGCACAAAACTACTGAAAATCTATCAAGCAAGGTAGTGAAAACTTAATATTAAATAATGAAATGTTCTATGTTTTATACGGTGTAGTGAGAACCTGTCAAACAACTGAAGACCTTGTCAAATACTTTCAAAGTTCTGTCAAAAACTGAAGTTTAGACACAAGTTCAATCTGCAAGGCTCTTAGTTACAAACCATCATCCCATCATGAGCTTCTGTTCCAGCCTATGATAAGCGGTTCCAGTCTATTAAGCTTCTCAAGAGTCTCTTGAGAGAAAGCCTTTCCCTTAAAGGCTCGTAAACTCCCAGGAAGGGTTACAAGCTTATCCCTTTTTGGGAAAAAAAGGGATTAAACGTTGTCCTGCAATGTCTTTGATATATATATACACCTGACACTTGTTAAACAGTTTACCAGCAACTCTTACTATACTGAGCTAAATCACTTTCAGATGTCAGCTTGTTTGTTATATGAAAGTCGCTGTTAAATCTTCTTTGGCAATTATACAACTTTATTGTGAAAATGCTCCCGGTGATGCTCTATCAGTG